GACAGAGTCCTCAGCACCAGCAGCAGCTCCAACTCCAGGGTCCGCAGCACCAGCAGCAGCTCCAACTCTAGGGTCCGCAGCACCAGCAGCAGCTCCAACTCCAGGGTCCTCAGCACCAGCAGCAGCTCCAACTCCAGGGTCCGTAGCACCAGCAGCAGCTCCAACTCCAGGGTCCTCAGCACCAGTAGCAACACCAACCTCCGGGGCCGCAGCACCAGCAGCACCCCCAGTAGCACCAGTAGCACCGCCAGTAGCAGCAGCAGCTCCAGCACCAGGGTCCGCAGCACCAGGCGCGCCACTCCGAAGAGTGCAGCGCCGCTCGTACCACTCACGAATCCTCTCAAGAGAGGGGAGCTCCCGACCGGGAGGGGAAGCACCAGCACCAGTCGCAGGAGTATGCCTGGCTCCAGAGGCACCTCTCCGAAGGCTGCAGTACTGCAAGTACCACTCACGCAGCTGCTCCGAGGAGAGGGCTCCTCCAGGTGTAGGACTCCCAGACTCAGCACCCCCAGACTCAGAACCCCCAGACTCCGGACTCCGCGGCTCAGCACCCCCAGGCGCAGCACCTCCAGGCTCAGTACCTCCAGACTCCGCACCCCCAGGCTCAGCACCCCCAGACTCAGCACCCTCGGGCTCCGCACCCCCAGGCTCAGCACCCCCAGGCTCCGCACCTCCAGGCTCAGCACCCCGAGGCTCCGCACCCCCAGCAGGACGAGAGTCAACAACTACCTCAACAGGCTCAACCGGGTCTACCTGAGACACACCTGAGGGAGCGGCACCCTGAGGGGGGAGGGGGTCTATGACAGCAGCACCTGGAGCGAGGAAGAGAGGCGGGGGAGGGAGCGGGGCAGTGCGGTAGGGGAAGAGGCGGTACTAGGGAACGGACTCGTCAAAAGTGACGTCCTGAGAGGGCAGAACCCGGCGCGAGGTGGCGTGGTAGAACTGCCAACCAGACACGTCGGGGACAAAGCCAAGGAAGATGCAGGGAACAGCGCGGGAGGAGAGCTTGTCCGCAGACGTATCGCGGACAAAAGCTCGAGATCCCCAGACACGGAAGCGTGACGCATCGCCAACCTCCCCCGTCCACAGCAGTGTGGGCGAGGTCTCCAGCAAGGAGACACGGGGCCAGAGGTTGAGCTGATGCGCAACGTACCGGACCACAAACGGCCACAGAAAGTGGGGGGCAGCCGCATGGATCAAGGAGGTACGAGCGTCCTCCATGACCAGGCCAATGCGGCGATCCGCAACCCCATTCTGCTGTGGAGAGGCCGGAAGCGTGAACAACTGCTCAATGCCGTGCTCAGCACAGTAGGCTGCCAAGAGGTCGGAGGAGAACTCACCACCTCTGTCAGAGTGCAAGCGCAGGACAGGAAACTCCGAGCGGAAACGCTTGTGCAGCTGAAGACGGGCTCTGCGGATCCAAGGGATCAAAACATCAGGGACCTCACCCTTGGTGCGCAAGGGGAAGACCGTGGTGTAGCGCGAGTAGTCGTCAACAACTATCAAGAAGTACCTCTCCTGACCCTGACCACGGACGCGGGCTGGGCCCCACACGTCCATGTGGAGCGTCTGCAAAGGAGCAGTCGTCGGGTGAAACGAGGAGGAGTGAGGGGCGGCGCGCTGCCGCCCCTCGACACAGGGAAGACAGGGAGGAGCAGGCGAGGGAGGGAGGGGAGGAAGGACCCTGGGGAGACCAGAGACAAGGTACCGGTTGTGCATGGCACGAAGCCGCTGCACAGACGGGTGACCAAGGCGGTGGTGCCAGAGGACGGTCTCGTGCGCCAGAGAGCGACACGAGCAGGGGGCGGACAGCTGACCTGATGCGGATGCAGACGCAGCGACCTGAGGGGACTCAGTGGTCAGTGTGTACAGGTCCGGCCCTGGCTGCCGAGTGAAGGTAGCCAAGTGGCGGCCCGTACGAGCACACGTGCAGTGTGTCACGCGCTCGTAGGCAGGGGTGAACTGGTGAACACCCCCGTCCTGGAGCACACAACCTACCACCAGGTTCGTAGAGAACGAGGGGAGGTGGAGACCTGACAGTGTGCCCGACGGGACCGCAGGACAGGGAAGGACAGTGGAGGAGGTCGCAATGACCGGACCCCCAGAGGGGTCAGCGAGGGAGACAGCAACTGGCCGAGCAAGCGGCTCAAGGGCAGTGCGATCACGAAAGAAGCAGCGAGAAGCACCTGAGTCCAGTGTGAAGGTGTGCAGTGCTGCAGTCGACTCAGTACCAGGGGGGGCAGACGCACACGCACCTAGAGCAGCAGCCTCACCAGTACCTGGGGCAGCAGACACGTGAGCACCTAGAGCGGCAGCCTCACCAGTACCTGGAGACTCAGACTGGATACCGGGGTCAGGCGGCACACACAGGGGACGGGCACCCACATCACTAGTAGACAATGCATACATGGCAGTGAGGATAGCATCATAGTCAAGTGCATGGATATCTACCATCTGCCTAAGCATCTCCACCCAGTCGGGGACCTCAGTGGCGTCGCCAAACTCCGTACGCCAGGCGTCACTCAGACGGGCGAAGCAGCGGGACTCGGCGTGACCAAACGTCCCGCAAGGCTGACCAGTCCGAGCACCAGTGCGAATGACGTACGGACAGCGAGCAGTACCCGGTGCCCCTCCACGCTGAGCGTACCATTCACTAAGCTCCCGGGGCGAAAGGACCGCGCGCGGACTACGCTGCAGCTGCACCTGGCCACTACAAGCAGCTCCCGAACTCCTCACACCAGAGCGACTCCCACTAAGGCCACCCCGACAACCCCAAGTAGCGTACCACTCACGAAGCTGCTGGGGCGTGAGGGACTCACGTGGACGTCGCTGGAGCTGCATCTGGCCACGCCAGGAGCAGCAGTAGCAGTAGAAAGAGCAGTAGCAGCAAGAGCAGCAGTAACAGCAGTACGGGCAGTGGCAATGCTCACCAGTGGTCGGCGCGGCAGGCGCAAGACGGTGGCGACAGCGGGGCCGCTACAACTGCAGGGCGGGGCCGGGCCACAGCAGGGAGCTCCGCGGCAGCTGCTGCAGGGCGAGGCCGGGCCGCGACGGTAGCTGCTCCAGGTGCCAGGGGCGTCTGCTGTAGTGGCGGCTGCTCCAGGGGCCAGGGGCGGCTGCTGCTGGTGCGGGCTGCTCCAGGGGCGGCTGCTGCAGGTGCGGGCTGCTCCAGGGGCGGCTGCTGCAGGTGCTGGCTGCTCCAAGGGCGGCTGCTACAGGTGCAGTGGCGGGCGGCTCCAGGGGCGGCTGCTGCAGTGGCGGCTGCTCCAGGGGCCAGAGGCCGCTGCTGCAGGTGCGGGCTGCTCCAAGGGCGGCTGCTGCAGGTGCGGGCTGCTCCAGAGGCGGCTGCTGCAGGTGCTGGCTGCTCCAGGGGCGGCTGCTGCAGGTTCAGTGGCGGGCGGCTCCACGGGCTGTGACTGCAGTGGCGGGCGGCTCCAGGGGCCGCTTAGGTCAGGGCGACGGTGAGCAGGGCGTCGCGGTGGGCAGGTGGCGACGCCGCGAGCAGGGCGGCGCGGCGGGCTGGTGGCGACGCCGCGGGCAGGGCGACGCGGCGGGCAGGTGGCGACGCCGCGAGTAGGGCGACGTCGCGAGCAGGGAGCGACGCCGCGGGCAGGGCGACGTCGCGAGCAGGGGGCGACGCCGCGGGCAGGGCGACGTGGCGGGCAGGTGGCGACGCCGCGGGCAGGGCGACGCGGCGGGCAGGTGGCGACGCCGCGAGTAGGGCGACTGTAGAATTCCACTACTATAGCAGCTTGATAGAGCTTGAAAGCACGATTCCAATGCACCAAAGATTGCAGGTTACGGTCCACTATAGCCAGAGTTACACACGAACATAGCAGTGATAATAACTTGGATGATTTCTGGTTTGTGCTCTCTGGTTTTATACTAGGACGCATTACAAAATAAAAGCACACAAGAAAGTGTCGACCCGGGTCGCACGTTGAATTTCGTCGACGCGAAATTCGGAGCCTTGAATTTTGCCGAGCGAATTCCATTGACTGGAATTCCGTAGACGAGAATTTCCGCGACAAGAATTCCGTCGACCACCGACTGTAACTCCCGTGCGAATTCCGTTGACTTCGACACTTCGCTGCCGAGATTCAAACCGAACGCGACCCGAGATCGATTTCGCCAAACTGTCCCCAATCTGTCCCCAAACTGTCCCCAATCTGTCCTGACAAGACACTTTCGGGACACTTGAATCGAAAGGTCTCCAGTTCGAAACTCGCGTGTACCATAACCAGCGCCTTAGCAGAAACTGTCCTGAATCTGTCCTGAGACACTTTCAGGACAGATTTGAAGGTCACGAGTTTGAATCCCAGCGCAGACATTTTGTTGCTCATGGCAGCATTTCCTTCTAACACGCCCCCTTGCTGTCAGGAGCACGCTGGACCAGCCCGGCTGCTGCACAGCAACGGTTGAAGGCTGCCTTGTCGAGCCGCTTCGTGAAGAAGTCTGCGGGCTGCGCCGTTGTAGGGATGTGCTGCACCTCCAACTTCTTCATGCGCACCATGTCCTGTAGCCACATGTGGCGACGGTCCACATGCTTCATGCGCCCCTGCAGCCCGCCCGCTTGGCTGAGCTGCACCGCTGACATGTTGTCGACGTACAGGGTGGTGGGGACACCCTTCTTGAGCAGTTGAAACTCCCACAGTAGGAACCTTAGCTTGCGCCCCACCTTTCCCGCTTCCACCGCAGCCACAAGCTCGCTCTCGGTGGAGGAGAGCTTGGTCGCACCCTGCAGCTTCTTGGCCTGCCAAGAAACGGCAGCTCCGCCAAGTTTGAAGAGGTAGCCTCCCGTGGACGACCGGTTCTCCTTGTCGCCTGCATCATCCGCATCCGCATACCCCACGAGAGTCAAACTCTCTGGTCCTCCCTTGAACAGCAGCCCCATGTCCGGTGAGGCAGCCCAGTAGGAGAGTGTGCGGAAGAGCTCATGCCAATGCGCATCCGTCCTGAGGTGTGCACCTGCTGCAAGACGGCTGCACGCAAAAGAGAGGTCAGGACGGGTTGAGATGGCTGCAAACTGCACCATGCCGAGAATTGACAGGTACTCGGTCATGGTCCGGTCGGCAAATTGCCCGGCATCCTGCTTGGCAAAGCTGGCGGAGGAGAGAGGGGTGATGGGCTGCTTCTTCGGTGGCGCCCCCTTGAAGAACCGCTGCTGCACCTTCGCCACGTATGCATTCTGGTGCAGGAGGAGTGTCCTGTTGGGGCGGTCGCGCACAATCTGCAGCCCCAGGTAGCGCTCCACTGGCTCCACCTCGCGAAGCTTAAACGCCTTGGCCAATAGCTTCTTCAGGTCCTGCAGCAGCTGCTGGTCTTCACTTGCCGCTAGCAAGTCATCCACGTAGATTAGCAGCCACACGCGCTTCCCGCTCGCCCCATCCTTGTAGTATAGGGCCTGGTTCACAAGGCTCTTCCTGTACCCCTCCACAAGGAGCACCTTGTCCAGCTCCTTGTACCACAGAAGGGGACTCTGCTTGAGTCCGTAAAGGCTCTTGTGCAGTAGGCACACCTTGCTGCTGCCGTCAGTGAAGTAGGGTGGCTGCTGCATGTAGATCTCGTGGTCGATGGTGCCGTGAAGAAATGCATTTTTCACATCAAGCTGCAGCAAATCCAGGTCCATAGCTGCTGCGATTGAGAGGAGCACGCGAACGGTGGTGTAGCTGCCAACAGGAGCATAAGTGTCGTCGTAGTCGATGCCGAAGCGCTGGCTAAAGCCCTTTGCCACGAGCCTGGCCTTGTACTTCTCCACGGTGCCATCAGGTCGCAGCTTCTTCTTTAGTAGCCATTTGACGCCGACTGTTTTGCGACCTTCGGGTAGGTCGGCCAACGACCAAGTGCCTTGCTCATCAAGGCTCTCCATCTCCTCCTTCATAGCAGCCCACCATTCCTTGCCTTCAGGTTCGGTCGACGCAGCTGCCAGGTCAAGGATGACACCTCCCCAAGCGCCTTCCTCCTCCTCATCCTCGTCCGGGTACTCCACTTCGTCATCGCTGTCCGTGTCGCAGTCGTCCTCAGCAAGGTACGCCATGTCGTACGGGTTCTCCTCCTCGTCCGCATCATGGGCCGTCAGGGCTGATGGCTGAAACCGTACGGGTGGCACCCCCTTCTTAGACCTGCCGGAGCGACGTGGGGGTTGTGGAATGGGCTGGATGGGAGGAGCTGTAAGTGAGGGCTCATGCTCAAGCGCCACCGGCGGCTGCTCATCCACTGCTACCTCTCCTTCCTCCTCAAGATCAGTCGTGTCGCCTCCATCCTCAAGGGGACCATCTTCTGGTCCCACGGGCGCCGAATCAGCAACGGAGGGTGGACCGAAAGGAGGAGGTGCAGTAGGTGCCTTGCTGCCCAAAGGGCCCACCGAGCGATCAAGGGGTTGCTCACCCCCTTGCACAGACGGCACCGGGACCACGATGACGGTACGTGGTGGTGGCAGATTCTGCTCGGGGTCGTGGGGCTCAGGAAAGAGAGATGGGACTGAAGCAAAGGGTGGTGTGGGCTGGTCATTCCCATCACCCGCCTGTGCACGCCACTTCTGCCACCTTTCAAGTGACATATCCTCATAAAAACGTGCATCCCGGGTGATGACCATGCGATGTGACTCAACATCCACCACACGCCATCCCTTGCTTTCCATGCTCATGCCCAAATGCATGCCCCAACGAGTTTTGCTTGCAAGCTTCCCCTTACGCTCGTGCTCAGGAATAAGGTACTGAACCATGCACCCGAACACACGGACCATCGACACATCGGGCTTGACTTTGAACACCACCAAATGAAGGGTCACACCATGGGGGAGGGTGGACTGGTGCACACGGTTTACCACCCACAAGAACTGCTGGAAAGCGAAGTGCCACCAGTATGCTTTCACCCCCATGTGCCCCAACATCACACGCATGCCCTCGGTTACCGTACGGTTGCGGCGTTCAGCCACACCGTTCTGCTGGGGGGTCGAGAAGCAGGAAAGTTGACGCAAGATCCCTTGATGCTTCAGCAGCAGCAGGAACTCGTTCGACATAAACTCTCCTCCCCGGTCCGACCGCAGCACCTTCAGCGTCATCCCGGTCTGGCGTTCAGCTTCGGGGAGCCACTCCTTGAAGGCAGCAAGCGCGTCGCTCTTCAGCTTCAACGTCTTCCCCCAGGTGTAACGTGAGGCGTGGTCGACAAAAAGAATGTAGTACCTGCTTCCATCCATGGCTGGGGTCTGAAATGGACCGCACACGTCAGTATGGACCAGCCCAAGAACTTGCTCCTCTCGCTCGTCGTGCAGCGGAAATGATTCGCGAGTGAGTTTGGCTTCATGGCAGGAGGTGCACGGCATATCCTCACCTCCTTTCTCCAGGTCCATACCGAACACGCCACCGCTCGTGGCTGTCCGCTTCACCGCATCGAAGTGGACGTGTCCAAGGCGAGCGTGCCACAGGTTGGGCGTTGCCTTGGAGCCCACCGCGTAAGTCTTGAGGCTCGCCGCTCCATCGTTAGCTTCCGGCTTGCCTCACGCCACATCAGCAATCTCCTTCGTCGTGCCGTTGCTTGCCGTTGCAGCCGCCGTGCCGTTGCATGCCACTGCAGCCCCTATGCCGTTGCTCGCCGCTCCACCCGCCATATCGGTGCATGCCGCTGCAGCCGCCGTGCCCTTGCATGCCGCTGCAGCCGTTGCACCGTTCCTTGCTGGCCCCGGTTTCAGGTCAAGGCAGTGAAGGCGATGGCGGTATCGTGCCGTTGCAGCCACTTGACCTCCTGATGCGATGATGCGAGTGACACCTTCCTCGGTTTGCAGCTTTGCTCCCTTGTCCAAGAGCTGCCCAGGGGAGACCAGGTTGGCCTTCATTCCTGGCACAAAGAGGACATCATGTAGGGTCACACGCAAGCCGTTAGTGCCCTCCAGCAAAACCTCACCAACACCGGCAACTTCCTGCATAGAACCATCAAACCCTTTGACTGATTTCGTTGCAGATGGGTCACGGATCACCGTGAACCACTCCTTGCAGCCGGTCATGTGTTGGGAGCATCCCGAGTCAAGGAACCACAGGTCCTTGTCATCGGCCAGTAGCTTTGCAGCCGAACACGCAACGGTGAGCGCCACGCCCTTCCCATCTCCTTCAGCAACGTTCGCGGCTGCCGCGGGCGTTGCATCCTTCTTCTTGTTGGGGCACTTGGCAGCCATGTGCCCCTCCTCATTGCAGTTGTAGCAGCGCCCCCTGAAGGGGCCTCGCTTCTTTTCCCGCTTGCCATCCTTCTTCTTGTCCGTCTGCTCCTTCCCCCCTTTTCCTTCCTTCCCGTTGTTGACCCCCGTTGTAGCCACGACCGTGTTGACAGCGCCCAAGAAAGCAGATGCATCGCTGGTGATCTGCTTGTAACTGTGTTCGATGGAGAGAGTCTGCTCCTCCATCAACACCTCGCTGCACACACGTTCCACCGTCATGTCAGGGCTGGAGATGTCGAGCTTGCGGCGAAGGAACTTGTACTCTGGTGGCAGACCCTTCAGCACGTGAGCGGCAAACGTGGCCAAGTGGACCTCCTGTCCAATGGTCAGCAGCTCCGCTTGGATGGTGCGGGCCCTATTGCAGTACGATTCCGCCGTCTCATCATCTCCCTTCCTGAGTTGGGCTAGCTGGGTATGAAGTAGGGAAGCGTGGAGGGCATCACGAGCTTGATAGGTAGACAAGATGTATGCCCATGCCATCTGCCCGGCTTTCTCTTGCTGAGAGAAACCAGCAATAGACATTCGGATGGGTGGAGAAACACAACGATTCAGCACCATGAATGCAAGCATTTGGCCCTTTGCGTACTCCCTTCGTTGCAAGGGGTTGTTTGGGGCCGGGCTTGGTGCTGTCCCGTTGCAAAACTGCCACAAATCAGCACACTGGAGCTGAGGACGGATGGCGCTGACCCACGCGGTAAGGTCGTGCCTTCCCTCCAGCAGCGGCGTCACGGAGATGTGTTCAACTCCAAACTTGAATTGACCGTAGCTCGTCCCGATCAATCCCACGTCAATGGTCGGTGCAACAGCTCCTCCGCCAATGCCCACGGCAGTTGGAGCTTCGTGCACAGCTCCTCCTTCACCGGTTCCTCCTTGCTGGCCGCTCGCAGGTGCTTGCTCCGCCGCGCGCTCCCGAACCATGCGTAGTAGACGACCGTCCACAATGAGGTCGACTTCCTCATCACGCAAGTGAGGGTGCTGCTCACGAACGGACGCCTCCAGCTCCTGGCGGGCATTCAGGCCCTCGGCGCTCGTTAACCACTCCATGCGCAGTCAAAACAAGCGTCAGCCACACCAACGTGGGAACGAAGTGATGGGAGGACTGAATCAAGCCGCTAGTTGGATCGACGCAGATAACGCAGCTCTGATACCATGTAGAATTCCACTACTATAGCAGCTTGATAGAGCTTGAAAGCACGATTCCAATGCACCAAAGATTGCAGGAAACGGTCCACTATAGCCAGAGTTACACACGAACATAGCAGTGATAATAACTTGGATGATTTCTGGTTTGTGCTCTCTGGTTTTATACTAGGACGCATTACAAAATAAAAGCACACAAGAAAGTGTCGACCCGGGTCGCACGTTGAATTTCGTCGACGCGAAATTCGGAGCCTTGAATTTCGCCGAGCAAATTCCATTGACTGGAATTCCGTAGACGAGAATTTCGGCGACAAGAATTCCGTCGACCACTGACTGTAACTCCCGTGCGAATTCCGTTGACTTCGACACTTCGCTGCCGAGATTCAAACCGAACGCGACCCGAGATCGATTTCGCCAAACTGTCCCCAATCTGTCCTGACAAGACACTTTCGGGACACTTGAATCGAAAGGTCTCCAGTTCGAAACTCGCGTGTACCATAACCAGCGCCTTAGCAGAAACTGTCCTGAATCTGTCCTGAGACACTTTCAGGACAGATTTGAAGGTCACAAGTTCGAATCCCAGCGCAGACATTTTGTTGCTCATGGCAGCATGTCCTTCTAACAGCGACGTCGCGAGCAGGGGGCGACGCCGCGGGCAGGGCGACGTTGCGAGTAGGGGAAGACGCCGCGGGCAGGGCGACGTGGCGGGGAGGTGGCGACGCCGCGAGCAGGGCGACGTCGCGAGCAGGTGGCAACGCCGCGGGCAGGGGCGTCGCGCGGTCGTGGCGGACCTGCAGGGGCGGCCCGGCGGGCCTGACGGGCCTGCAGAGGCGGCTCGGGGGGGGGGGCTGACGGGTCTGGAGAGGAGGCTCGGTGGCCTGACGGACCTGCAGGGGCGGCTCTCAGGCCTGCAGGGGCGGCTCTCGGGCCTCACGGGCCTGTAGAGGCGGCTCGGGGGCCTGACAGACCTGCAGGGGCGGCTCTCGGGCCTGACGCGCCTGCAGAGGCGGCTCGAGGGGGGGCCTGACGGGTCTGCAGAGGCGGCTCGGGGGCCTGACGGACCTGCAGGGGCGGCTCGAGGGCGCACAAGGGCGCACAAGGGCGTACGAAAGGCGCACGAAGGCGCACTAGCAGAGAAGGGCGCACGATGGCGCACGAGGGCGCACGAGGGCACAGGTAGGTAGGTAGTTAGGTAGTTAGTGGTGGGCCCTAAAAAAAACGGTCCTAGCGAAGGACCTGCTCTGAAACCATGTCAGAATAAGCGAACAGAGATGAATGAACTAGCAGTGAAATGAGTACAAGTAGGAAACCCTAGAATTGTGTACCCCCTATAGGCTAACCCACTGTAGCCTAAACAGATAGAACATACAATGTTTGACACACATGCAGGAGTACATATATATAACAGTGCTAGACAAGCAAGAGCAGGTATATATATATGTAACAGTACAAGCAAGGTCAAGAGGTGAGCAAGTGAGGTCCAGTGGGCACAAGCCCTAGAAGAGTGCAAAAGCGCTGATGGTCACAAGGCTGAAGCGCCTTGGTGAACACATCAGCAGTGTTGGCCTCATTGGCCACGTAACGCAGACGAAGCTGACCACGCTGCTGCAACTCTCGAGCAAGGAAGTAGCGCAGAGCAATGTGCTTCGTCCTGTGCTCCAGTCTGTGCTCCTCACACAAGGCAATGGCTGCCTTGTTGTCGACGTACAGCACTGGAGGAGAACGAGGCCGCTCTCCAAGGTCAGTCAGCAAGTAGGTGAGCCAGCGTAGCTCCTGAGCAGCCATGGCCGTGGCGTAGATCTCAGCCTCACAACTGGAGCTGAGAACAGAAGAAGAGCGTGTAGAACGCCAAGAGACTGAACCAGAGCCAAGACTGAAGGTGTAGCCCTGAGACGACCGCTGAGTAGCCTGGTCATCAGCCCAAGAAACGTCTCAGTGCCCAGTGAGAACATCTCGGTCTCGCCCTCCAAGCACTAGCCCCATGCCCGACGTACTGCACAAGTAGCGCAACACCCTCTTAGCTGTATCCATGTGCTCCTTCCGGTGACGGCCGGGAGCGACATAGCGTGCAAGGATGCTAAGAGGGTATGCAAGGTCAGGTCAAGTGCAGGTCATCAGGTACATGAGGCAGCCCACAAGCTCTTGATACGGGCCACTCGGCTCTACGGACTCATCCAAAGGCAGAGCTGAGAGCGAGTGACCGGTAGGCAGAGGAGTGGGCTGAGGCTAGGAGTACGTGAAGCGGAAGCGCTGAAGGACCTGCTGCACCATGTGTGACTGAGTCAAGGTGATGGTGCGCCGTGCTCTGTCCCGGGTGATCCGCAAGCCAAGATAGCTTGTCAGTTCACCCAGGTCTGTGCACGTGTGTCTCTTCTGCAGCTCCGACTTCACGTGGGCGAGTGCCGCAGTGTCCGCAGTGGCAAAGACCAAGTCGTCGACGTACACGAGGATGTAGAACGGCCGCAGCGAGGTGTTGGTGCGTAGAAACAGCGACGGGTCAGCAGTAGAGGGAGCGAACCCAAGAGCCGCAAGTGTAGTCCTCAGTGTGTCGTGCCACTCGAGTGGCGCCTGGCGGAGACCGTAGACTGGCCGCCGAAGGCTCCACTGGGTACCAGGAGGGAACGACCCAGTGAAGCCAGGAGGGCGGCGCAGCCAGATCTCCTCGTGCAGGCTGCCCTGTAGGAAAGCAGTGCTGAAGTCAAGAGAGTGGAGCTCGTAGTCAGGCTGAGCGGCGACGTGCAGCAGAACCCGAAGAGTGGTCATCTTCGGGGTCGGGGAGAAGATCTGGAAGAAGTCAACTCCCTGCCGCTGACTGAAGCCACAAGCCACGTAACGCGCCTTGAAGACAGGCGGAGAACTCGGCGGCCGCTTCACCCTGAAAATCCACATGCCACTGACGATGTTCGCCCCAGGTGGGAGAACCTTGTCGACATAGGTGCCTGTGGACTTCGAGGAAGCCATCTCTGCGTCCATAGCTGTCTGGCACTGAGAGGAGTAGGGACTGGCCATCGCCTCTGCGTAAGAGCGTGGGGTCGGGATGTCTGGAGCATCCGGGTCTCCCTCAGGGGCGACAAGCATGGACACGAGATGGGGCAAAGCGGCGGCAAAGCATTGGAACACCTCCTGCCTGTCCTCAAGGACGTCCGTGCCAAGAGCACACTCACCCCCGACGGACAGAGGACAGACAGACTCAGACTCAGCAACAAGACTCGCAGCATAGTCTAGACGACACGAGGCAGCAAAGTCAACAAGCTCAGCAACTAGGGCAGACGCAGCAGCAGACTCAAAGGAAGGGTCAGTGACAACAGTAGCCAGGATACGCGTGATAGTAGGACTGGCAGCACAGAGAGAGTCCGACTCCGGGTCGGCAAGAGCACGAAGAGAAGACTCAGGAGGAGAGGGCAAAGGGGCACGCAGAGGAGCAGTGGACGGACGCAGAGACATCCGGTGCGTGCCAGGGACAGGAGGAGGGCGCTGACGCGAACCGCGACCACTAGTGCGAGCAGCACGGACAAGCGATGCAGGGCGAGACGCAGGCTCACGACGCTCAGCTAGACCTCCAGTAGGACCAGTGTAGGGAGACAGAGCAGGCAGTGGGGAGGCGGGCTGTACCTGTAACTGCGACGGGACAGGCTGTGGACACTCTAAGGGAGGAGAAGGACCAGTGGAAGACGGGAGACCAAGAACCTGCTGAAGGAGCGGAACGAAGCACGGCCGAGGCCGCGCGGCGACTGCAGGGCGGCTCGGCTGCAGGGCGGCTCGGTTGCTGGGCAGCTCCGCTGCTGGGCGGCTCCGCTGGTCGGCCGCGAAGGTAGGCGGTGGGGCCGTCAGGTAGGTGGCGGGGGGCCGCACAGGTAGGTGGCGGGGCCGTCAAGTAGGTGGCGGTGGCCGCCAGTAGGTGGTGGGCGTTGCACTGGTAGGTGGCGGGGCCGCACAGGTAGGTGGCGGGGGCCGCACAGGTAGGTGGCGGGGGCCGCACAGGTAGGTGGCGGGGCCGCACAGGTAGGTTGCGGGGGCCGCACAGGTAGGTGGCAGGGGCCGCACAGGTAAGTGGCGGGGCCGCACAGGTAGGTGATGGGGGCCGCACTGGTAGGTGGCGGGGCCGTCCAGGTAGGTGGCGGGGGGCCGCACAGGTAGGTGGCAGGGCCGTGAGGTAGGTAGCGTGGAGGAGACGCGGGCGGCTGCAGGGGCCGGTAGGCGCGACGCCGAGGCCGCGAGGGCGGCGCGACGAAGCCGCGAGGGCGGCGCGACGAAGCCGCGAGGGCGGCGCGACGAGGCCGAGAGGGCGGCTCGACGGGGTCGTGAGGGCGGCTCGACGGGACCCTAGGGCGACGCGACGGGGCCACTAAGGGCCGAGAGAAGGGAGCGCGACTCGGGGAGGAGCGGAGCGCGCTCCGGGCAGGAAAAAAAAAAATAGATCAAACGGTGGGCCCTAGGAACAGTTCCCACGAGGGAACCTGCTCGATACCATCTTAGAATCAGGACGTGAATGAATGAACTATGAATGAAACGAGTACAAGTACTAACCCTAATTGGGTTGTACCCCTTATGGGCTACCCCACTATAGCCTACATAACATGCATCAGCTGTAGAGTTCTGACACCGCCCATCCACCTCTCCCTATGGCGCACCGGTTCTCTTCACTCCAAAGCCAGACGGTAGTCTACGGATGTGCATCGATTACCGGGCACTGAACAAACAGACAGTCAAGAACAAATACCCCATAGCGCATAGACGATCTTCTAGACCAACTGCGTGGTGCGACGGTGTTTTCGAAGCTGGACCTATGGTCGGGTTACTGGGAGATCAAGATGGCGGACAACTCGATCCACAAGACTGCGTTCCGTACCAGATACGGCTCCTACGAATACTTAGTAATGCCGTTCGGACTCTGCAATGCACCG